GAACCTTCTCCAGAATAGATCACATCCTGGGCCATAAATCTAGTCTTGGTAAATTCAAAAAGATTGAAATCATTCCAGTCATCTTTTCTGACCACAGTGCAGTAAGATTAGATCTCAATTACAGGAAAAAAATTATTAAAAATTCAAACATATGGAGGCTAAACAACACGCTTCTGAATAACCAACAAATCATAGAAGAAATCAAAAAAGAAAAATATTGTTTCTGTTTTATGATTTTTTTTTTTGTAGCCACAAGGCATGTAGGATCCTAGTTCCCTGACCAGGGATTGAACCTGCACCATCTGCATTGGAAGGTAGTCTTAACCACTGGACCACCAGGGAAGTCCCCAAAGTCACTTTCTAGGGGCATGTGACTAAGCAGAAGCAAAACCAAAACCATATAACAGGTCTTTCACTATTTGTTGGATGTGCTTTCTTTCTATTAGTGCAATACTTCCTAGATGTCTTCTTCCATATATCACAAGTCCCTTGATATGTCAATAAAATAATAGTTATAAATTCCCTGACAGCTTAGCAGGTAAAGAAACCACCTGCCATACAGGAGACACAGGAGACTCAAGTGACTCAGGTTTGATTCCTGGGTCAAGAAGATCCCCTGGAAGAGGAAATGGCAACCCACTTCAGTATTCTTGCCTGGAAAATCCCATGGATAGAGGAGTCTGGCAGGCTACATTCCAAAGGGTCGCAAAAAGTTGGACACAACTGAGCACATACTCATTCATTCAATAGTAATAATAGTGGTGTGGAAGAGTTCTATGATCAAATAACTTTGAGAAACTGCCTTGTGTATTTTCTCTTAGGACTCTCTTAGAGATTAATTTTTCATATATTCATATAATGAGTCTGAAAAGCCTTCTGATAAAGAAAACCTGTTTAGTTTTGGTTAACCCAGGGTTTCCCAAATTTATTTGACTGTGGAGACATTATTGACAAAACACAAACTGCATCCTGTGGAATAAATTTTGGGAAGCTCCACTCTAGATCAATGAAAAGCACCCAGGAATCTGGAATCTAGTCAGTTCACTTGTCCTGGGAGCCCATGGACAGAGGGAGGGTTCCCAGGCTGGGCATTTGTATCAAGAGAGTAGAGAGAATACTGCAGATGCCTGCCTTCGTGGAGCTGGGGAAATGGCATCTTCTGTGTGGTATTTCTGGCTCTTGCCAAAGTCAAAGACCTACATTCCATTATGTCAAGTCATGAGGAATAAACCTCTCTGCAAAGACTGAAGAGGAGCATGTTAACAGGTCTCAGGGTGATTCAGCATTCCCAAGAAAATGGCAGTGGGGGGACTTCCCTGGTGGTCCAGTGGCTAAGACTCCCCACTCCCAATGCAGGGGGCCTGGGTTCCATCCCCGGTTGGGGAACTAGATCCCACGTGCCACAACTAAGAGCTCACATGCCTCCACTAAACATTCTGAGCACCATAACTAAGACCCGGCACAGCCAAACACATAAAAATAATTGGAAAAAAAATGGCAGTAGAGACTGGGAACCAACTTCTGAATACCCTGTACCCCCACCTCAGAGCTCACTGCCGGGGGTACAAGGGCCCCTCTCCTAGGGGGCGCTGCTCTGGGTGCCTCTCAGGGCACAGGCAGTCCCAGCCTGACCCAGCAAAGGAACCATCCGAGACCTGCCCCTCTGGGCTCCTGGGAAAGCTCGGGGCCCCAAACACCTCCTGCTTGCACCTGCATGGAGAATAAGGAAGCTACTCAGCCCCCAGCCTGAGGTGAAGTAATGCTCAAGGTCCCCAGTCCCATTCTTACTGACAAGTCCCCCAGGGACAACAGTGGGGGGCCAAAGGGGACAGTTCTCTGATTCTCGCATTGCCAACTCTGCCCCAAATAGGCAGGAAAACAGATGCCACTTTCCCTTAGGAGTGTTGGTGTGAACCACTCAGGTCCTTCTCACCACCCCTTCCTTCTTTCCACACCAGAGGAGGAGGAGGAGGAGATGGTCTGTTTGATTGATGAGATCAGGGCGAATGGACCCTGCACTGGAAAGGCAAGGGGGTCTTGGCCCGGGAGGTCTGTTTTCTTGAAGAGAGTGGGTCTGTGAAGCGACTTTTCTGCTCGGCCCACCCACTCCCCGAGGGTGGCTCTACAGTCTAGACCAGGCCTGGGGGAGGCAGCTGGAGTCCCACGTGGACACAGGCCCAAGCTGCCCACGTGATTTTCCAGACGGTCCTGTCCTCCAGGCAGGGGGCTGGTTTGTCGTCCTTCTATGCCTGACCCCTGCCCCTCAGTGGGGAGAATGTAGATGGAGAAGACAGATAAGCAACCTCACCTGGAAACCCCTACCAATTGCCCATTGACCAGAGAATCAAAGGGAACTGGAGAACATTTTCCAGACCCTTCCTCCTCAACAAGACTGCCAGACTACTTGGATATGGCCAGACACTGTGGTGGAAAAAGACAAGGCTGTCCCTTTCTGGGTCTGTGCTTGACACAAGAAGAGGATGAAGACAGTCTTCCGGAGCTTCCACAATAACTTGTGAGTCTTCTCGACTGTCAACCTGGGAAGGGCAAAGTTAAGAGCAGCCTCCCTCTCATGAGTCACTTCGTAAATGGTAGCTCTCGTCACTGTCATCATCACCACCACCATCTGTCTCCTTAGCACTGTCATTATCTCGAGAATCAGCAACCACAGCACAGATGGGTAAGGACCACTGTGGCTAAAAACAGCACAAGGAAAGGTGGGGAGAGAAAGAGAAGGAATCTAGTACCAAGGAAGCCTGCAAAGGCCTTCACCCTTTCCTTATTCTGATCTCTTCCCATCTCAATGGTCGATTTCCATGGAGATGTGGACCCAGGTCCTAAAATGAGGGAGCAGACCATGCTCCTCAGAGCTGAATGAAACCACCCCACCTTTACCCGCTAAAGGAAACTTTAGGGGGAACCCTGAAATTCATGCCTCTGTGAGGCCTGAGTTACAAACTAGCCTTCTCCCAGGGTAGCCTGGGAAGGGGTTAACTCATTTGAGACAAGCAGAATACTGTCCCTGTCAACAAATGGACAAATGACTGAGCTTTTATAAGGAAGGGATTATTTCTGATTTTGATTGATACTAGAAGGAAAGCTGAGCTCTCTTGGGTCAACCACCAAGGGTAGAGAAACTGATTCAAGCCTCCCTAATGCAGTACTTTGCAATAGCTTATCACAGATCATGAATGAAGGTCACGACAAAGCACATGGGTTAGATAGCACATTTGCCTCAGAGTTTAAATCCATCTCTATAGGGCACAGGGCTGGAAGGGCAGTCTTTACTGCAGCCCAATAAGGAATATATGCATCTGATGCCTCTCAAAACACTCTCTAAATACTTCATTTTTGAATCAATATGGCAACCCAAGACAAAACTAAAGCAAATGGCCTATGGCTTGGGGATAATTTCAAGGAAATTTGTATTTTAAGGGAAAGCAAACAACAAGGGAAAACTGTTATACCGCTTTTCATTTTTCATAAAGTGTAAAAAAGAAAAAATCTGATAAAATATTTAAAAGGAGAAACATAATAGAATGTGCTTCTCAGTACTGGGGTCTAATGGACATGGGAATTTCAAATTGTTTCCTCCAGAATTAATGTCTTGTCAACATTAAACATAATCTTTCCTTGACATCACCATGGCAGATAAAAGGTGCTCAGGACACTTAGCTTGACTTGACTCAAAAGATGCAAGACCTCAGTGTACCTTTTAACAAATTATTGTAAGTAGAACATAGTTTTGCAGATATATAAATCCTCTGACTTGTTCCAACAGGTTGGAAAGTTCAACAAATAGGTCCAAAGTAAGGCTGGGCTGAGATGGCTCATGGCCTCACCAAGGCCAGGCTTAGGGCAGGAACTCCAGAGGGAGGCAGGTGGACAAGCTTTCTTGAAAAATGCCAAATGACCTCTCATTGCCAAGGCAAAAAAGAGTGGCTTTCAACCTTCATGATGTCCACTTGGGAGTTACCATCCTGTTTAGTTCCATTTCCACCTGGGCTTACCAGGTGGAAAAGTATGTGCCTGCAATGCAGGAGACACAGGAGACTCAGGTTTGATCTTGGGGTCAGGAAGATCCCTTGGAAAAGGGAATGGCCACCCACTCCAGTATTCTTGCCTGGGAAATCCCATGGACGGAGGAGCCTGGTGGGCTACAGTCCATGGGGCGGCAAAGAGCTGGAAATGACTGAGCAAATGAGTATGAACACAAAACCTAACTTTACTTGTACAAATAAAATAAGAGCTGGTGGCAAGAATCATGGTACAAGAGAATGTTAGCATTTCTGAGGGTTCTGTGTCAAGACCTTCACAATCCCCAAGTTCACAGGTACTACAAGGGTACAGCTGGCCATGCTTTTATATCCTGAAGGTTCACTGTGACAAGCACAGGCATTGGAGAGTTGGATGATGAGTGAGGCTTCCCATGAGCCAAGAAAGCTGTTCTTCCTCAAACATCTGCCTCACATTTCAGTTTTAGCAAGACCGCAAATTACCATATTCTTGGGCTTTCCACTCACCTGCAAAACCACCAATAGTATGGCCTCAAATATCATAACGGCAGGTCTACTGCGCACTTCACCCAAGACAATCCCGCCTCCCCAGGGCCGGCCTGAGCACATCTCTGAGGTAATCCCAGGATAAACAGGACCCTCTCCAGATCTGAGATTTGAGTCAGGACTTGCTGGATGTCTGAAGCTATTTCTGAGGCAGCAGATAACGGTTATGGAAAATTCCAGAAATTTGTAACAACTAAGGCTCCTGAGTTCCTCAACATGCCGACCCTTGTCATACAGTCAATGTTTTCATTCACATTAAAGCCTCCTGTTTGGTGTAAATACTTACATCATTTTCTAAAAAATTAAACATGCTTCTTTCAGCCAACTCCTTTGACTCTTCAAATTTTTCTACTGCTTGTCTGACTTCTTCATCTGGTATCTTACCTACTCGCTTCTTTTTATAATCGTAATCCAGGCGGCGGCCTTCCAGCTTTTTCAGGTGGTGCTAAGAGACAAAGGAGTCCTTCAAAGAACTGTTACACTCAAACACAACACAAACAAACTGTTGGCATTTCTATGAAAATAGTCATTGCTTTTTCTCAGCATAAATTCTAGGGGGCAGGACCCCACCTTATACTTCTTTTGCGTGCACTCAGCATCTATTAGCAGCTCCTTTCACTGCCCGTCAACAAGGAATATTTGTGGAATGATTGAATGGGTAGACGGATGGATGGATGGAAGATAAACTGAATGAGTGTCTATATGGAACATAAAGATGCATTATCAGTTTTTAGATTAATTTTCCAAGGTTCTCTATAGAACCCTTCAATTGAGCTCCATTAATTTCCAGGTAATTTCCAACCAAATTAACTATACTCCCAAAAATGTATGTTTCTTTTGGCAACTCCTTACTAAGAAGTAGATTATAAAGCACAAATTTCTGGTATCCTCTTGAATATGTAGGGATCTTCCATAAATTTCCCAAATAATTACAAAATAAGTTGAATAAACGCTATTGATGAATGTAATATACACAGAGGAACGAAAGTATGATGTCTTTAAGAAAGTAAAACAATTACTAATATTAGAGGTGTCCATTCAGGGAACACAGTGCCTCCTGTGGTAGTTAAGTTCCCCATTACAGTCTGTGGGGATTTCATGTCAGAAATATTACAGAAGGGATCACTATACAGGTCAAGGGAGTTTACGATTATAACCCCTGGAAAACAGATATCTGATATTGCAAGTGGAAGTCAAAACAGACTCTCCCACTGAAGCATGTGGGTGGCTTGACTGTTCTTTCTAGTGGGAAGCACTGGTTCTAACTTCCACAATGGTTGGGTAAAAAAAATATGAGACAAAAAGTCAGAACCATCTCTCTTACATGTTCCGTGACTCTGGGCAAGTCTCTAAACCCCTCCATACCTCCACAACTATGGTTGTAAATGAGGACAACCAGGCTTAACCTGGCTACTTGTGGGTGATGAAATGTCTGTAAAAGTTCTTTGAATCCACAAGACCTTTTATAGATATGTCAGGCATATGTTAAATGAATGGGTTTTCCAGTCAGGAGGTCCAAGAAACATAAAGCTTAGTTGAGACTATGAAAAGCCTACTGAATAGATGACACAAGTCTTGATCATCTATAGTATTTAGGTTTAAATGTATACAGTTTCTCCATCAAACCAGAGCTGAGTAACAAGAGGTACCACTTAAAAATTATCTTTTGCATAAGGAAAAACATTTAAGGCTATGTGTATTTTGAACATTTATCCCACTTTTTCTTTAGGATCCATATTCATACCTACTGAACCAGGTCAAGTGGAAGAGCAGTGTAATCTGGTGAAGTTCCTGTCTTTCTTCAAGGACAAGAGCACAAGAAGAAACGGCATATTATGTATTTCCACAAAGGAGGTATTTGGTTTAAAGGTTCTGCATTTGGGAAAGACACCTTGGTATCCCCGCAGCTCATAATACCTCTTCTCTAGAATCATCTGTTCAATAATAATCTGTGAGCACAAAGGCTGTGCTAGTCACCGTGACTACAAAAGTGAACAAAACCTGACTCCTTACTCCAAAGCTCTTTCTCCCAAACAACAGAAACAGAGACACCGTGACACTCACAGCACAAGGAGCACCTGATTAAGTCTGGCAGAGAACAAGAGCTTCCCAAAGGACAGAACATCTGAACTGAGACCCGCGAGGTGAGATGGCTTAGCCGGGAGAGTGGGGGAAAGGAGAACAACAGAGAATAGAGAGACAGCCCAGTGCCACGGGGACTGTACATAATTCAGTGAGGCTGGGCAGAGTTCAAGTGGGAAGGGGCGAGCTATCAATCCCAATCAGTCAATAGAGACAAGGAGGGACTGGGAATTAGGGACTAAGGTGCTGGATCTTTACTCCCAGTGGACAGCTGCTGGGGGGGGGGGGGGGGCTTGTCCCTTAGGAAGACCACTCTGGTTGCAATGTGGAGAATGGACTGCAGGGGCCGAGATGTGAGGCTGGGAGTCAAGGGCTGCTGTGCTGATGTGTTTAAACATTAACCAGAAGAAGTCAATAGAGAGAAAGGGGAAGAAGGGAGGTTCTGGAGAGAGGATGAAGGATGTGGCAAAGGCTCTGAGGAGGTGAGGATGAAGGACTCTAGGGCCCAGTGGATGACTGGCCTAAGGGAGCAGAATAGACACCAATTTCCCTAATATGGAAGAGAAAAAGGAGGGACAGTGGGAGTAAGGCACTGAGCGAGGTGCTGGGCATGGGGTAGCGGAATGTTCTGGGAGTTCCTGAATGGATGCTTTCATTTTTCGTTCAGCCTCCCCGAGTAACCCTCTATAGCCCTTGGTTTCAGTGTGAATTCAAAACGTCTACACGGGCACCCAGGACTCTCCCCTGGGAAGCTCTGGGATACGGCCCAGGAATCTGCATTTCTAACATGAGATGATGCTGTTGCTCACCCTGGGACCACACCAGGAGAATCACTGGGCCTGAAAAAGAAAAAGGGGGATCTCCCCCAAGTTCAGATGACTTCCAAGCTGGTCCCTGGCTGCACTCAGATCACTCCTCAAGGCCCCAGGAGTTGGGTCTTATGGGCAGCTTCTCAAGAGGATGCCCAAAGGCCTCAGGGCAGGCTGTCCCTCCAGAATAGAAGTCCCTGGTGGGGTGGAAGTCTCAAGGATGCTTTTGCGTATCTACCAAAACACCACCAAGCAAGTGGTGTGTGATTATTTACAGGTCCCTGAAAGCTCCTAGATATGCTCTGGAGGGCCATTTTTAACATTTTCCAAACACAAAATTGGGCTTCCCTGGTGGCTCGGACTGTAAAGAATCTGCCTGCAGTGTAGAAGACTCGGGTTCAGTCCCTGGGTTGGGAAGATCCTCTGGAGAAGGGAATGGCAACCCACCCCAGTATTCTTGCCTGGAGAATCCCATGGACAGAGGAGCCTGGAGGATTACAGTCCATGGGGTCGCAAAGAGTCAGACACGACTAAGAGACTCACACTAACCCTAAACACAAAATGCTGATTCCTAGATACTGATTTCCATGAGAAGTAATGGAAAATAATGATCACTAGCGCAATGAATCGAAAGACGCAGCCTGGATGGGAAGGGAGTTTGGGGGGAGAATGGATACATGCATACGTATGGTGGAGTCCCTTTGCTGTCTACTTGAAACTATCACAACATTGGCTATACTTCAGTATAAAATAAAACATGTTTTAAAACTAAAATAAAAAATATTTGAGAGAGTAACACTGAAACACATACAATACCATATTTAAAACAGATAACCAGTGGGAATTTGCTGTATGACATAGGGAACCCAAAGCCAGCCAGTGCTTTGTGATAACCTAGAGGGGTGGGATGGGGAGGGAGGTGGGACGGAGGTTCAAGAGGGCAGGGACATGTGTATACCTATGGCCGGTTCATGCTGATGGATGGAAGAAACCATCACAATATTGTAATTATCCTCTAATTTAACATAAAAGTTAAAACAATAAATAAGTAATAGATGGTGGCACTAAAAAAAAAAAAAAAAAANACACAAAAAAAAAAAAAAAAAAGATGATGCAACTAGTACCACATGATTTTGATGATCAAAAAACCAGTACAAAGTTCTGGAATCATTTTGTTATGTGAAAAACGACTGTAGAAGTAGGTATCTTGAGCTTGGCTTCTAGCTGGCTTCAATAAGACACAGAATAAAGGTCTAGCTGTCCTGGACTCTCTCCTGGTAAGCCAGGTTACCATAACTGAGTTATTATTTTACCACCCACAGTAAGATGATGCTTTCACTGAGTTGCTATGGAAATGTTCTAATGACTTTAAACAGTATAAACATCATATTAAGTAGCAACAGGCAGATTTATAGCCTAGAAAACTTACCCCAATCTCTTTTAAGATGACAATAGAAATAGGTGAACAAATCCTCCTCTCAGCTTCTGGCTTCTAGGTCTTCTTGAGGCCTTGTATTGAATACTCCTTGTATTCTTGAGATGGTTCTAAGGCTCCCGACCCTTTCTGATCAAAGAAAGCCTGGCAGTGTCACACAAGCAGGATGGGCAGGATCTTCTCCTGCAGTGAGGTGCAGGCCAGTCACACCGGGCCTGAGCAGCCACAGGCAGCTTTAGCTGGGTTGAACCCTGATATTTGGCGCCAGCTAACCTGCAACAGTATGCAAGTAGGCATTCGGGGGATGGAGGGGGAGGCAGTGGTTCTAGGTGGCTCGTGGTAAAGAATCTTCCTAGCAATGGAGATGCAGGACACTCAGGTTTGATCCCTGGGTGGAGAAGATCCCCTGGAGGAGGAAATGGCAGCCCACTCCAGTATTCCTGTCTGGGAAATCCCATGGACAGAGGAACCTGGCGGGCTGCAGTCTATAGGGTCACACAATCAGACATGACTGAAGCGGCTGAGCATGCATGTACACACTCTGGTAGCTGAGCAAAAGGAGGGCTGTGGTGACCAAGCTGACCAAACTATCTTTGCATTGAAGCCCCTGCCCCGTCACCTGCCCAGATGCACTGCAGGACTGTCCATGGATGTCAGGGCCTGCCTGGCGGCCTCTCCTGTTCCCTTCACTGGTTCCCGTCTGAAGGTCAGCCTTCAGAACAAGGAACAGGCCATCTTGGTCCCAATCACCCAGGAAATAAAATAAAATTCACATTATACTGCTCCAAAGGACACTGATACCCTCTGAGACTAATTAATGTTTTAACATTTGAGGGTTTTTTTTTTTCAAGTTTTCAAAAGCCTTTCCCCCCAGTTTCCTAAATGAATTACTATGGCCTAATATCTGAATTCTCAATTGCCATATCTTGCCTTGTTTCCACTACAAGAGGAGCAAACATGTCAAATTCTCTGGGAAGACTTAACAATTCAATTCACCCACAATTTAATTTATCAATTTAAAGTAATCTCAATCAAATTTAATATGCTTTTTGGTGGCATTCCCTAGCGGTCCAGAAGTTAGGACGTGGTGCCTTTACTACCATGGGCCCCAGGTTCAATCCCTAGTTGGGGATCCTGCAAGCTACACAACGTGGCAAAAAATAAAATAAAATTAATAGTTTTTTGTTTTTAGTAGAGGGAACTTAAAAGGACTCTAAATTTCATCTGGAAAAATAAAATAGGTGAGTATGTCTGTGAAATTTTTATAATATCTAGGGGAAATTTTAGTTAAACATATTTTTAAGTGATGATATTTAAAACAACATGGTACTTGATCAAAGCAGAGTACAGATCCAGAAAACAGAAGAGAAAGATCAGAAACAAATTTAAAATATTATATATAAAATTTTATAACAGAAAAGCTGTAGCTGAGAAAGGTTGAACTTTTCAATAAAGTATTAGGGCAACTAACTAGCTGTGTATTTGTGAGAACACAAAATTAAAACCCTACTGCACCGTATTTGCCCATTAAACTCAAGAGCTTGGAAATTTAAAGGTAAGGAAAGAAAATATATGTATGAAAATGAAGTATAAATAAACATTTGCAGTTTACTAGTGGAGGGGGAGGGGTGGAAATGTTTTTCTAAACATGATACCAAAGCCATAAACCACAAAGGAAGATCAATGAACCCCACTAAATAAAAAGCAAAAATCTCTTTCCATTAAAATGATCTCTATCTACAACAGCAGAAGGTACATGCATACCTGGGGCAAAACTTCATCCAACATATGTGACAGACAAAGAGTAAATATTCTGACCACTGAAAAAAGCTCATAGGGACTTCCCTGGTGGTGTACTGGCTAAGACTCTGCACTCCCAATGCAGGGGGCCCGGGGTTTGGTCTCTGATCAGGAAACTAGATCCCACAAGCCACAACTAAAGATTCCACATGCCACAACGAAGATGAGGTCCTACATGCTGAAACTAAGAGCCAGTGCAGCCAAATAAATATTTACAGAAAAGAAAAAGCTTGCATAATAGTAAGAAAAAAAAAGGTGAACACCTTAATATAAAAATAAGCAAAAGACACAAATATAAAACTCACAAAGATGATGACAAACATGACTAGAAAACCAGCCTCACACACAATCCAAAACATGAAGTTAAAACAGTGCCCAGATATCAGTTCTATTTGCTAGAAATCAGATTATCAGTTATTTAAAAGGAAACTAAAAGGATAACTCTCAGAGTTAGTATAACTGTGCTGGGAAACATTCTCATACCCTTCTGGCAGGAGTGTCAATATGGTATAACCCTTCTGAAGGGTCACTTGAAATTATGCTTCAAAAACCTGAAAACTAAGCATACTCTTGATTCAGCAACTTAATTACTAGGAATTTCATCTAAGAACATAATCTTGGATATTTCCAAAGCTTTAGGAAAGTGGCTATCATAAATGCTGTGCAAATTTTTTTTCACATTAAAAAATTTAAATATCCAGTAAATGGGATTAATTGAACAAACTATGGATATATGGAATATTATGCAGTCTTTTTTTTAAAAAAAGGACTGTGTGGAATATTACTTGGCCATGAAAAGGAATGAAATTGAGTCATTTTCAGGGATGTGGATGAGTTAAGAGTCTGTCATACAGAGTAAAGTAAGTCAGAAAAAGAAAAACAAATTATCATATATTAAGGCATATATGTGTAATCTATAAAAATGGTCCAGATGAACCATTCCTGCAGGGCAGGAATAGAGATGCAGACATAGAGAATGGACATGTGGACATGTATGGTGAGGAGGGGAGAGTAGAGTGAATTGGGACAGTAGCATTGACACAGACATGCTATCACATGTAAAATTGATAGCTGGTGGGAAGCTGCCATACAGCACAGGGTGCTCTATGTGCTCTGTGATGACCTGGAGGGGTGGGATGGGATACATGTACACATATGGCTGAATCATGCTGTTGTACAACAGAAACTAACATAACACTGTAAAGCAATTATTCTCAAAAAAAAAAGTGGAAAGTAATGTGGAATATTGTTTAATAACATGGACCGTGTTTATAGTCAGTGGGAATAAGCAGATTACAAAAGGGAATTAGGGTATACATACTATCAGTTCAGTTCAGTCACTCAGTTGTGTCCGACTCTTTGCGACCCCATGAATCACAGCACGCCAGGCCTCCCTGTTCATCACCAACTCCCGGAGTTTACTCAAACTCATGCCCATCGAGTCAGTGATGCCATCCAGCCATCTCATCCTCTGTTGTCCCCTTCTCCTCCTGCCCTCAATCCCTCCCAACATCAGGGTCTTTTCCAATGAGTCAACTCTTCGCATGAGGTGGCCAAAGTATTGGAGTTTCAGCTTCAACATCCGTCCTTCCAATGAATATCCAAGACCGATCTCCTTTAGGATGGACTGGTTGAATCTCCTTGCAGTCCAAGGGACTCTCAAGAGTCTTCTCCAATACCACAGTTCAAAAGCATCGATTCTTCAGTGCTCAGCTTTCTTCACAGTCCAACTCTCACATCCATACATGACCACTGGAAAAACCATAGCCTTGACTAGACGGACCTTTGTTGGCAAAGTAATGTCTGTTTTTTAATATGCTGTCTAGGTTGGTCATAACTTTCCTTCCAAGGAGTAAGCGTCTTTTAATTTCATGGCTGCAATCACCATCTGCAGTGATTTTGGAGCCCCCCAAAATAAAGTCTGACACTGTTTCCACTGTTTCCCCATCTATTTCCCATGAAGTGATGGGACCAGATGCCATGATCTTAGTTTTCTGAATGTTGAGCTTTAAGCCAACTTTTTCACTCTCCTCTTTCACTTTCATCAAGAGGCTCTTTAGTTCTTCTTCACTTTCTGCCATAAGGGTGGTGTCATCTGCATATCTGAGGTTATTGATATTTCTCCCGGCAATCTTGATTCCAGCTTGTGCTTCTTCCAGCCCAGCATTTCTCATGATGTACTCTGCATATAAGTTAAATAAGCAGGGTGACAATATACAGCCTTGACGTACTCCTTTTCCTATTTGGAACCAGTCTGTTGTTCCATGTCCAGTTCTAACTGTTGCTTCCTGACCTGCATACAGGTTTCTCAAGAGGCAGGTCAGGTGGTCTGGTATTCCCATCTCTTTCAGAATTTTCCACAGTTTATTGTGATCCACACAGTCAAAGGCTTTGGCATAGTCAATAAAGCAGAAATAGATGTTTTTCTGGAACTCTCTTGCTTTTTCGATGATCCAGCGGATGTTGGCAATTTGATCTCTGGTTCCTCTGCCTTTTCTAAAACCAGCTTGAACATCTGGAAGTTCATGGTTCACGTATTGCTGAAGCCTGGCTTGGAGAATTTTGAGCATTACTTTACTAGCGTGTGAGATGAGTGCAACTGTGTGGTAGTGTGAGCATTCTTTGGCATTGCCTTTCTTTGGGACTAGAATGAAAACTGACCTTTTCCAGTCCTGTGGCCACTGCTATAACCCCACTTTAAAATTTTAAAAACTGTATATGAATAAATATAAGAATAAACCAAAGGTATTAATATAAAGAACAAACAACAAAGAGTATAACTGGGCCCATCAGTGGGGAGGTAACTATGGGTGATGCTGGCATCTTCTTTTATTTTCATTGCTTATGTTTTCTAAATGTCCTAAGATGAACATGTATTATTTTTTAAATTTTAATTAATTTTTGACCATGTCATGTGGCATACAGGATCTTAGTTCCCTGACCAGGGATAGAACTGTGCCCCTGCATTGGAAGTGTGGAGTCTTAACCACTGGACTGCCAGGGAAGCCCTGAACATGCATTTCTTGATAATAGGAAAAATTAATAAGGGTTGTTAAAATGAAGGTTTTGTGCATTACCAAAACTCAACGAAGGCTGCGTGCTCAGCTCTCCCCAGTGATGTGGTAATACTCACCAAAAGTGGAGCCTTCCCCGAGCTCCTTGCCGTATTTCAGCATGCAGTCACCCAGCAGGCCCTCCGTCTGCGGGTACCCAGTGGTTTTCACCTGGCCTCGGATCTTCGACACAGTGTTCAGCATTCCTAGCTTAGCTCTGTATGCTTAAAAACATTGTCATTTGTAATTCCTTAAAGTGGAACGGCAGAGTGACAGGTACACAGCATTTAACAAATGCGGCTGCGAAATCAAGGTCGCCCTAGACTCAATGTCAGAGACCTGAGACAGGAAGGGCCCTGTGTGACCCAGTTTCTTACACGGTTTCCTAGATTATTAACTAGGATAAGTGCTAAGGGCCATGATGAAAAAAAGAAATTAGGGCACACAGTGTTGACTCCCAAATAATATTACAGTAACCGAGGCTATCATTACCCTATCCACAGCTAATTCACTGAGTCAAGACGCTGACACTGGGGAAGACATATCCTCCTAGGGACCGACTGCAAACCAAGAATAGAATGGCTGAGGTGGGTGTTTCAAACCAACTGGTGGTGAACACCCACCCCCACCCCCAAGAGTGTATCCAGACTGATGATCTTCAACGTTATGGTACAAGCGCACTGCAGGGCACACTCCTATTTAGGAAGCAGAACCAGTAGGAGACGGACACTCCCATGGTGAACAGGAGTCTGGGTTGATGCTCCCTTGGGTGCAGCTCTACTTCTGGACCCAAGGAGAATGGTGGGTGGCCACTAGATCCTTTCTCTGACCTAGGCCATGAGGGTTGACTAATCCCAGCTCTGTGCAACACCCCATGTTAACTACTAGGACCTTAGAGAGACCTAAGACAGGGACGCCCTGGTGAACCAGTGGTTAAGACTGTGCTTCCACTGCAGGAGGCATGGGTTCAATCCCTGATCAGGAAACTAAGATCCCCCATGCCACTCAAGGTGGTCAAATAATAATTTAAAAAAAGAGAGACACCTAAGACATACTCTGCCCTCAAGGAGTTCACACATAGGAGTTCTTGGAAGGCACAAAATCCAAGATGTCATTACACAAATAAAGTCTTATGTGGTACATAGAAAAGAAAATATAACAATATGCTGAATAAAGATGGAAAGATGCCCCCATCTCGAAAGTTCAGAAATAGTGTAAGATGCAGAAAAGGAATGCTTATGGTTTACAACCAACAGATAAAGGGTAGGCTGCTTTGACTGAAGAAGAAATTAATACAGAACAAATCAGGAAATACTTAGGGGAAAATGGTACTATGAACTGAACTCCAAGCTAAGGATCTGGGATTTTATTCTGCAGGCTAAGTGATGTTTGAGATAATTTTAGGCCGTAAAGGGATAAACTTTTATTTTCTCTGATTTTAATAATTACATATTTATTTTCATGTATTCTAGGCTAGTGCTTCCCAAACTTTAATGTGCCTGCAAAACACCCAAGGATTCTGTTAAAATGTAGAATATTTTATCCAATATATGTTTTTAGATTTATTTCCTAGATTTTCAGATGTTTGGATGTGTGCTGATTCCTACAGCCGAGGGAATCACAGTAATTATATACAAATAATAAATTCATACAAAGTAAAAGCAGATTTGGAAATCCACAGAATTCAAAACTTGGACGCCCTCTGTTGGTCTCTATAATTTAGAACTTAGAAAAACTTCATCAAGGGAATCCTGCTTCAGTGCCTAGGAAAGAAAGACCTCCTGCCAAGAAGCTGCAGTAACAGTGGAGCTTCTCATGTTTGATTCACTTCATCAGCATTTGAACCATGAAGTGAAAGCAGTTTCAAAGTCACTGACACTGTTAGAATAGGATGGCAGAATTAAAAAAAAAAAAAAAAGCAGCAGCAACTGAGTAAGAAAGTATTGACAAAATATTTAGTGTGTTTCCAAAGTATCTCTTTGCTTAGAAAAGTGTCTTCATGCTCCCCAGGTGGCACAAGTGGCAAAGAATCCATCTGCCAATTCAGCAGACACATGTTCAATCCTTGGGTGGGGAAGATCCCCTGGAGAAGGAAATGGCAACCCACTCCAGCATTCTTGCCTGGGAAATCCCATGGACAGAGGAGCCTGGTGGGCCACAGTTCATTGGGTTGCAAAGGATCGGACATGACAGAGCACACCCGCATGCATGCAGAAGTGTCTTGCTCTAAGATCAAGACTCCACCCAAATAATGTCTCCATAGTTCACAGAAGTCTCTGCCCTGTTTGTCATCAGCTAAGAAACACTGCAACTACCTTTAGTCACTCAACTTTAAACTATTTAATTTCATTATTTGGACACAGAGAACACTGTTTCTAGATCATGTCAACCACACGCTCAGTAAATACTGGTTATTAGAATCTGTGATGCTCAGTAAAACTCCGTTATTAGAATCTATGAATGAACAATTGAATATTTCAAGACATTTTCTAACTTTACCTGGATTTGGCTGAAGATATTCTGTGGCTTTTGAAAGAATTTCTGCAACTGCTTTATTGGTAATGTCTATTTTCTTTTAAAAAAAGAAAGAAACATAAAAATATTAGTAAATGACAAACAAATTCAACAGAAAAACAAACAAGAATAAATTTCATTAAGTTAGTATTTATAACAACACTGTTATAATGATTTTAACTCAAATGAGCCTTTCAACATTTTGGGTAGAGGGAATATTTTCTTAACTTTTAGATTCTGGGGCATCCTTTCAATAACTGCTCCTCCCAACGACAGTGGAGAACACTAACTTCTTTTTCAGCATTAAAATGAATATTAATGTAACATTTAGGAAACTTGGAAAAGTTATTATGCTCCACTAGATTATTGGATATACTTGAAGGTCTCTCAAAACCAAGCTTAGATGTTTCTAAGCCAAACTTTCCATGAATGCTGGGTGAACTTGAATTTCTGTACTTATATAGGATGCCAGAATACAGATTCACATGAGAAACTATGGGCTTCCCTGGTAGCTCAGTGGCAAAGAACTGGCCTGCCAATGCAGGAGACTCAAGACTCGGGTTCCATCCATGGTCTGGGAAGATCCCCTGGAGAAGGAAATGGCAACCCACTCCAGTATTCCTGCCTGGGAAGTTCCATGGACAGAGGAGCCTGGCGGGCTACAGTCCATGGGGTCACAAAGAATCAGATATGACTTAGCAACTGAACAACAACATGAGGAACTACTTCAGTAAGCCAACAACAGAGGAACCATCATGACTGTTATCACTGAAATACACATTCTTCTGTTCTGTGGTCAGAAGATGTTAACCTCAGAGACTCCCCTGCTATATTATGACTGAATCTCCTTCCACAAAACCAATTCTGGACACTGTGGCTTTTGGTTAACCAAAATGTGAGCATATACAGTAAAGTTAACTATGCACATTTCAATAGATTTATTTTATACCATCAATAGTCGAAAAGAGAATGTTTTAAAGGAAAAGGATATTCCACTCATGAGAACAATTTAAAAATCATCAATAATGAGAATAAATATTTGTTTTAGGTTTGATGTTAAGTTTAAGGGAATCCTAAGCAATGCGTTTGTATTGTAGTTTGAAAACTTGAAGGGAATTTGCCTAATTATATAATGACTTGGTGATAAATGTGTAAGCATTTCATCTGTTAAATGTATGACTAATGGAACCTAAAGTGAAGTTCACTGAAAATGATCGCCATTTTTCTATAGTGAAGTTGTTCTTGTTTAGTCGCTAAGTCATGTCCAACTCTTCACAATCCCATGGACTGTAGCCTGCCAGGCTCCTCTGTCCATGGGATTTCCCAGGCAAGAGTACTGGAGCGGGCTGCCATGCCCTCCTCCAGGGGATCTTCCCGGCCCAGGGATCAAACCCATGTCTCCTACATTAGTTGACAGATTTTTTACTGCTGAGCCAGAAGGAAAGCCCAATACTGAAATTACTAAATGTAGGAATAAGATCCATACATTTAGTTTAAGGCTTAAGGCTTGGGTTTGAGATTTATAACTTTGTATAAATTCAATATTAATTAAAGCACAACTTGGAATGGTCATTCCATGTACACAATTCTCTTGGGACATGAAAAGCCACCAGGTATCTAAGAATCACCTCTGAAGGGTGAGGGTGAGAGGAGACAGAGGCAAGAATACTTTCTACTTAGACTCTTCTATTTCTTTTGGGGGAAAACACCAAGAAACAAACAGCCCAAAACTCAACAGGCCTTGCTCTGCACACACTGGCAGTGCTTCCAGGACAGCCCAGGAATCAATACAGGGAATGAATCCTTTACAAATGAAAGAGGATGCCACTAACCATGTTGGCAAATACGGCCAAACAAGATAAACACTGAAAAAATAACTCGTTGCATAAAAACAAACAAAAAAAATATTAAAAACAAAACCTTGCTTATAGAATAAGTGGAAATACCGGCAGTAGGGTGGGTACATGTGTTCAGATTAAGAAAATGCAATGAAGGGATTTCCCTGATGGTCCAGTAGCTAAGACTTCGCCCTCCAATGTAAGGGCTGTGGGTTCAAATCCTGGTCAGGGAACTAAGATTCCACATGCCTCTCAGCCAAAAAATCCAAAGCATAAAACAGAAGCAATACTGTAACAAATTTGATAAAGACTTTAAAATAGTCTACGTGAAAAAAAGAAAAAAAAATTTTTTTTTAAAAAGGAAGAAAATGCAATGTACATATCTCAGCAAACCATCAGGACATATGGGAGAAAGCAGAGAGGTGACAATTATTTTTGTAATGTCTCCCTGGGCATCTTTGGTGGCTAATTACCCCTAGAATTTCCATATGTGTTGGTACCTACCTCTGAGGTGCCCCAAAGTCTAGGTCCCTGACACTCCCAGACCTCAGTCCTTACAGAGCTGCCGACAGTCCTGGTTTATAATATTCTCTTTTTTAAAAAATTATTTAAAGAATCCACATCTGTCTTTGTATCTTTCTTATTCCCTATGTAGTTTATCTGTGTTTTCCCTTTTCCCTCTCTTGCTCACACTTACTAGAAGTGGTCTTTCAAAAAAAAATAATTCTTGGTTTTATTGATTGATTCTACCTTTTTGCTGTTATTATTGTGTATTTGATTAATCTCTCATTTATCTGTATTGATTTCTTCCTTCCACCTAGAGTGATTTGTTTTGCTGTATTTTCCTAATTTTTGGTTTGAATGATATTTTTCATTTTCTTCCAACATTTATTTTCTATTAAATGCATTTAAGACAGCTATATATCACAGGTTTTGACACATAGAATTCTCATGACTAAGTGATCTTTAATTTTACTTTCCATTTCCTCTTGAGATAAGAATTATTTTTGCATGTTCTTCCATTTCCAAACACCCAGAATTTGGAAACTATACCCTCCTTGTAATTCTCGTGTTCTACGATTTTACTTAGGAAATTTGTTTTTTTCCCTACAGTCCAGTAAATAATTGATTACTGAAACTGCTTTGAAGGAATTTGAAGTGAATATAAATTCTCAATTTGAGAAATACAGACATCTATATTTACTTAAAATCAAATTTACTAGTCATATTTTATGCAAATTCCCTATGATCCTATTTATTCTTGTCAATTTAATCTGTTATTTTATGGGAAAGCTATGCATTTTTGTCAGTTCTCTATGTATTTCTGATTGCTTTTGCCCTCTATATTTAGATGCCATGTTATATGATGCACAATGTTATATGATGTCATAGTATTCCGATAGACTACATGATACATCTTCTGATAATATTTTAAAATCTTCTTTTTCCAGTTAGTATTCTTTTGGCCTCAGATTTTACTTTGACATCACTTTTATTCCTCTGTTGTGTATGGTTAGCATTTGTCATGGAATATCTTTCTCCATTTGTTGTTGTTGTTCCATCAATAAGTCGTATCTGACTCTTTGTAACCCCATGGAGTACACCACGCCAGGCTCCTCTGTCCATGGGATTCTCTAGGCAAGAATACTGGAGTGGGTTGCCATGCCCTCCTCCAGGGAATTTTTCTAACCCAAGGATCGAACCCACATTTCTCATGTCTCCTGCACTGGGAGGCGGGTTCTTGACCACTGAACCAACATTAACTTTGTCATTTCTATGTTATGTTTCAGGTGAGTCTAATATCATCCAATTCACCTCTTGTAGAAAGTCCTTAAAGCTTCTTGTCACCTATTAAATATTTCCATGCTTTTCGATGCTGTAATAAAACAGATAATAGATTTAATTTTTATATTTCTTCTGCCACTCACTTGGGTTTTGGGAGGAAAAAGAAGTAATCAAGAGAGGTTTCAGTCCACCAACTGAAACTAAAATTCCTGAAATGTGCTTTCAAATTTAACCTTTCAACTGAATCACTTTATTAGTAATAAAGTTGCATAAAATATCTTTATTTATCAAGAAATTTTAAAGTAATTTTAGGTATGCCAGTGATGTTTAAATGTTCTGTATTTCTCATTCTTCCAAAACTGTTTCCAAAAGCAAAACAAAATAAGCTTTCTATCAAGGCATTAACATTGCTAGAAAATTAACTGTGCTCACCCAGAAAACAAGAAGCTCCCTGGAGGACAGTGAGGCCAGGTCCAGAGCATCCTGTAGAGGGTAACCCCACACACACACCCCATGGCACAGTCTGGGGCTGGAGTCCCTTCCCAAGCATCTGCTGAAAGCCCTGCTACCTGCTACAGCCTGTATCCTCCATGTTACACCCAAGGAAGCCTTTCCTTGGAAAGCAGAGAAAGCTCTGATTTCTCTCAGTCCTCTCTCACTGGGGGAGTCTGGTTATTAACACAGGGTTATGTTTAAAGGTCCCAAAACAAAGGGAAGGGTAAGAGACTGATAACTAGTAATGGTCCCACTTTTGCCTCCACCTAAACTATTGCACGGGTTTCCCTGTGACTCACTGGTAAAGAACCCTCCTGCCAATGCAGGAGACACAGGTTCCATCCCTGGGTCAGGAAGATCCCCTGGAGAAGGAAATGGTACCCGCTCCATTACTCTTGCCTGGGAGATCCCATGGACAGAGAGGCCTGGCAGGATATAGCCCATGGGGTCGCAAAAGAGTTAGAAATGACTTAGCAACTAAACAACAACAAAGGACTTCACACAGGTGACCAGGAAGCTTGTTCAGAGACACAGAGTCCATAGTCTTCCTTTGCAATGTGGTAACAATCATTTCTATAGTAACTCACTGGATTTTTTAAATGCTTTCACATATAGAATTTTTTTTTTCATAATTCTTAAAACATCCATGTGAGGCAAGCAGAGCACACATTATCATCCTGCGTCACAGGTCACGAAAGTTTGAAACAGCTTATTCAAGTAGACGTAGCTGGTTCCAGTGGCAGAACCAAGATAAAAATTGTTATATAGCTGCTGTAACACATGGAAACAAAGTCCTCCACACATTAGATCAATGTTTAGGTATTTGAAGGGTCTCCTCCCAATAACACATTTTGACTCTCCAAGATGCTTCATCACAAATTACTTTGGCTGAAACTGTTCACTAAGATGGGCCATCTTTTGAGCATTCTGACTTTGTCCAGTAGAGGGCACCAGTTAGCCATAGCCCATCTCTCAAGAGCCAGGGTCTTTATTTGAAGAACTGCCTTTTGGATTCCATAATCTACACTTTAATTCACACCTCCTAGATCCCCATTCTATTATCCTTTATGATACCAGTATATGTCATATCACAGTAAAACTCAAATTTATGAGATAATTTACATTAAAATGTTCTCTTACCCTTTCCATGTCAAGAAATTCGTCATCTAGTTTTGTTCCTTCAACACCACTTATTTTTTCACTAAACAGCTGTAGAAATAAACACAAGCAATTGTTTGTACAATCATTCATTATCACAGTATTTGACTCAAATTATTATCCAAAAAAATATTCAATTCCAAATTGTTGGATTTTTTTTTTTATGAAATCCTTTAAGAAAATCATTGGAAGGAGTAACCATAGCTAAGAATATGGGAAAATACAAACTCCTCACTCATTCAACAGACACCTATTATGCACCTACTATATGTAAAACACAAGGCAGTTTCTCTAGTAGAAACATAAATAAGATCTTTTATCTTTGTAGCGGCAAGTGGGATCTTTACTTGTGGCATGTGAGATCTAGTTCCCTGACCAGGGAACGACCCAGGCCCCCTGCGTTGGGAGTGCGGAGTCTTAACCACCGGACCACGTTATTTTGAACACACTAAGGTTCCTCTGTGTTAAGGAGGAGATGGAGAATGAATGGCGTAATTGATTTAATAAGGTTGAGAAGTATCTGCTTTATGTAATTAGTGGCAACTACTAAAAGCACAAAACAATTAACATACATATAATCCTATGAGTTATAACATAGTATCCATACCAGCACATCAGTGGAAAATCAATGTTTCCCTACCCAAAAGAAAACAAAGATAAAGGATATTCAGGAGAACATACAAGGTGACAAGTGGAAACTACAAAATTAAGATAGTAATCACAAGTCCAAAAAGGTCAGTAATCATTATCTATGCAAATAAGTTCAACACAAGAAAGGATAATTAATAGAGTCAATTTTAAAAATCCAGCTATATAGCTTTTAATAGACATACCTAAAATGCAATGCACAGGAGAGTGAAAAGATTAACAGATAAATTATCTTCTTGTTGTTGTTTAGTTGCTAGGTCATGTCTGACTTTCTGTAGCCCGACAGGCTCCTCTGTCCCTGCGATTTTCCAGGCAAGAATACTAGAGTGGGTTGCCATTTCTTTCTCCAGAGGATCTTCCCAACCCAGGGATTGAACCCAGATCTCCTGTATTGCAGGCAGATTCTTTAGCATCTGCAGCCATGAAATTAAAAGATGTTTGCTCCTTGGAAGAAAAGCTATGACAAACCTTGACAGCATATTAAAAAGCAAAGACATCCCTTTGCCAACAAAGGTCCATATAGTCTAAGCTACGGTTTTTCCAGTAGTCATGTATGAATGAGAGTTGGACCATAAAGAAGGCTGAACGCCAAAGAATTGATGCTTTCAAATTGTGGTGCTAGAGAAAACTTGAGAGTCCCTTGGACTGCAAGGAGATCAAACCAGTCAATCCTAAAGGAAATCAACCCTGAATATTCATGGGAAGGACTGATGCTGAAGCTGAAGCTCCAATGCTTTGGCCACCTGATGTGAAGAGCCAACTCACTGGAAAAGACCCTGATGCTGGGTAAGATTAAGGGCAGGAGGAGAAGGGGAAACAGAGGATGAGATGGTTAAATAGCATCACCAACTCAATGGACATAAATCTGAGCAAACTCCGGGAGATAGGGAAGGACAGGGGAGCCTGACCTGCTGTAGTCCATGGGGTCTCAGAGAGTCAGACACAACTTAGTGACTGAAGAACAACAACAAAATTAATAAGGAGAGACCTGATCTAATAATAAATGGAGCAATTCACCAAAATTCTGGTATAATATAATCTACCTAACAGCATAACTCAGAAAAAAAAATAAAGCAAAAACAGAGAGAAATAACTGAAATAACAAATCCACAATCATTAAGGAGATTTAACACAAGTCTCTCAGAAAACCGGCAGATCAAACATGATTAAAAGAAAATAACTTGGAAGGGATACAGATAGTTTTAATGATCAAATTAATATCCTTGATAAAATATGCACAAATATATATATCCCTCCAACTAATAAACAGATAATATAGTCTTTGCAAGTACAGATAGAACATTAGAAACAGTGATCATTTACTAGGTCACAAATCAGTCAACACCATACAGAACACATTTTTAACCATAATTCAATTAAATTAGAAATCTACAATAAAAATAATATGCAGATATAAAGTTTTAAAATTCAGTCCTAAATAACTATGAGTTTAAAGGAAGTCCCAAGAGGAGTTACAAAAAAAAAATTAATAATGAAGATACATCAAAATCTGTGAGATGCAGCAAAATCAGTGTTTTGAAATCAATGTGTTACTTTAAATTCATTAAAAAAAAAAAACACCTCCATGTTTCAAACTGATACATGTCATTCAATCTAAATCAACAAACATCTAAAAGTCTACCAACTAGGTCAATATGCTAAAAGTACAAAGATCAATCAATCTAAATACATTTCAGGGCTTCCCTAGCAGCAGCAGCTGGTGGCTCAGTGGTAAAGAATCTGCCTGCCAATGCAGGGGACATGGGTTCTATCCCTGGTCCAGGAAGATCCCATATACCACAGAGCAACTAATCTCACGCCCCACAAGTACTGAGCCTGTGCGCCAGAGCCCGGGAAACACAACTACTAAGCCCACAGCTGAACTACTGAAGCCCGTGCTCCGCAGCAAGAGAGCCTGAGCGCTGCAACTAGGGAGGAGCCCCTGCTCGCCGCAACTAGAGAAAAGCCCAGGTAGCAACGAAGACCCAGTACAGCCAAAAATAAATAAACTTCCTTAAATACATTGCAACCACTTACACTGAGAAGCAGTAAATGGCCGTAACACGAGAGCCAGAATAGAGAGAAGCACAACTTGCTCTTCAAACCCAGACGGAGGAAAGCAAATTAAATGCATGAGAAGGTGCCAAGAAATTCCCAGAACTGACCAGAAGGGGCCAAGGAGATTCATTAGGAGATAAGGGACACACACACAATGAAGAGGCAGACAGTGAAAGAGTGTCCAAATTTTAGTCTAAAACTCTTCTCTACCCTCTTCAGCTTTAAACACTAGTAAGCCCTCACCTATCCAGCTTCTCCATCACAAACACTACATCTGACCTGGGCTTTTGAGATGGAAGTAACAAATCTAAAATACACATAGCTAAGGAAATGTATTTCCTGTGATCTTCCCCTCATGAGAAAAAGGGTCATGTTGCCAATTAGACCTGTCCCAGGATGGCTTGTTGCTATAATCAGAGATGACACTCTTCATTCACCATCTACTTCTTGTTGGGTTCCAATTTAATCAATGATGGGAAAATGAAAACTGTTATCAAAGACTACAACAGAGCAGTGATGCAAAAGACATTTATTTGGGAGACATGCAGTTTTTGCTTTTCACCTAGATGTGTTGGGGTTTTAGTGGTAAATGTTAACACAGCCTTGGACTTCTGCTTGTGCAAAAACAAAAAAAAAAAAAAATCTGTTTTCAAAAACTCTTGGCTTCTCCAACTTCTTCCCTTTATGAAGCAAGAAATTAGACAGCAAGAAAGCCAGAACCTAGGAGAAAATGTAAAGAAGCAGATTTTATACCTCAGGATTTCAGAATGTGTTTTGGAATGGTATTTTCCAACACACGTGCCACAAAACACCTGCTGCACAGGATACAAGTAAGAGTCATACAGAACAGCTCCTTCACCATGTCCTTGGAAACACGGCGATAAACAAGATTAAGCAGACCTCTACTAAAAGAGACTTTTCAGAGACTTTAAAGTGGAAATGGGCATTGTTGATTTCCAGGGGGGTGCATGTAGATAGAGCATTTCCCACCCATATCTGGTCACGGGAGATGTCTCAGCCGAGTAGTATGTGCTTTGAGAAGCCCTGAACCAAAAATTTCACCTTCTTTATTGGCTCCTATTTTTTTTTTCATTTACCAGTCACTAGTCATGTCCTGATGTTATCAGCTTGGAAAACAAGGCAATACTCAAGTGTAAATCTAAATCATGAAGGTTATTTGTAAGTTGTTAACATTAGGAGACGAGACAGGGCACTTGTGAGTTCTCTGTGCTAGTTTTGCAACTTTTCTGTAAGTCTAAAAATATTTCAAAATACAAGATGATTTTTTAAAATCTCTGAAGGCAGCAGAGAGCAACCAAGGCAATCAGGATTTCAGAGGCCCAAAATCATGAAGAAGGGAAACGCACTAAGAAGAGCAATACATTCACAGCTGCTTCTTCCCTTTGGGGAAATTCTTGCCTTGCAACACATGATATAAAAGCTAAGCAGAAAGCCTCAGCTTAGAACCTGCAGCAGCTTTGCTGGGCTGGGAAGAGGGAAACCGAAGTGCACTGTAACCTAGGAAATCAGGCTAGAAGAGGCCAAAATTCCAGGAAAAGAAAAAAGGACATATAAAGAAGTAAACCCAATAGACTGTGTGCAATTTTCTCTCAAGGCTTTTGACAATTCTTAAGCTGCATATGCACAAGGCAAGATGCTTGGCTACCAGCAAAAAGTGGCTGCTAGAAGGCTAAAGATCGAAGTGGAGATTTTTGCATTATCACAGTGATCAAGAGACAAAATTATAGAGTTCAATATGCCCCAAAACAAGGAACCTCAGTAAACACCCTGGGTTTTTGGTTCAAACCCTGAAGGCCTAAAGGCCTAAGACTAACTGCAAGGTCGAAAGAGATGGGCCCTCACAAAGCCTGATACGCAAACTTGAATTAGTTCAGTCCCTGTGTGCATTAAGGTTATTGACCTTTACCCTCATTATGTGGCAGAATAAAACTTTCTCTCTGGAGGAAATCTTCATATACAGCATCTACCATTAAAATAAAAAAATCATTTACCATGCCAAGAGACTGAACCAAACAACTGAAAATTAAGGGAAAAATAATAATCCAATAGGCAATCCCAACACTGACATCAAAAATTATCTTTAAGATAATTATGATTGGCAAACCCACAGCTAATACACTCAGTTGTGAAAAAAGGAAAACTATCCTTCTAAAATTAGGAACAAGACAAGGCTGTTCACTCTCACTACTCTTATTCAACATGGTATTGGAAGGCCTATAGTTAGGCAAAGAAAAGAAATAAAAGGCATCCATATTGGAAAGGAAGAAGTAAAACCATCACAATTTTCAGATGACATGATTTCATATATTGAAAACCCTGAAGAT